ACCGTGCCGGCTGCTGGAACCGCTGCCAGGCTCCGGGGTTGTTCTCGTCTTGGATCCGTGGATCGCTGTGCATGCACCAACTGGCCTTATGGCATCCTGGAGAAGGGATGGAGAGTGCCAGCCCGCTAGTGAGGGACTGGCACGTGCCACAGAGCAGCTCCGGGGAGCTTCTAGGAGCAGCAGATCTTCAAACGCTGGAGCCAACTTCCTCCGCCCCACGAAGCACAGCATGTGCGGAGGAAGAGGACGCAGGATGGGCACGCAAAAACATTTTGGGAACCTAAGACAGGACACCCCTCATCAGGCCATGTATGAAGGATTAAGTGCCAACACAAGAGAATGGCGCATGCACATGGCGGCTGTCGCGGCACCGGATATTCCGGATCTCTGTGCAACACGGTGTGCAAGTGTCGCGTGGGGTAACACCAGGCCTAAATTCTGCTCGACATGCCGATATCCACAGCAAGCAAAGACCCTCCTGATACCATCAGCTTTGCATGCACTATCAAAGTGTGGGCGACTTGACTCACTTTTCCCTAACAAACTTATTTGTTCACATACCCCTGCTCATTTCCCCACCACGACAGGGCAACACTTTGTGTAATAGGGGGAACAAATACATGATCTGAAGGAATGAGGCTCAAAGTGGAAGTAATGTGCTGCGAACATTGTCAGCTAGAAGCACAGCAAAATGCCAACACTTGGGCTTCACTGGGAACTTCACCCACGTTACAAAGACCATAATGCTTCTGAGGTACATGGACATATGTATGTGTAGATGTGTGCATACAGATACTTCCCTATGTCATATGCTTGCATGATGTGCACTGGCTTTCTTAGAAACTGAAAGGGTTTAAGGTGGTCATCTAGGGGGAAAAGGCGTTGCATGAAGCTATAGCACAAGTAGGGCTTCATCTAGCTGCTTACAGGGATGCCAATTTCCTCCAAGAAAAACCCAGAGACCTTGATTGCTCTTCATGACTAAGCATTATCATAAATAAAATGTGCTCCCGTTTTAGTCACCTCTTTCTGGAAGAGATCTTTCTATAGTCCACCATACTAATCAGCCAAACTTGGAGACAGCAGCAGGTATCGCTCTCAGCTCTTCTCCTTTGCTTTTTGCACTATTGGAAATGAGCCAGGAGGCCAGTCTCATACCGCTTGTTATTTCAGTTACAATATCGTAAGAAGCATGCAATTAACTAGAATTTAAGCAAGCAAATTTGTTTTGCGCTACTGTGTATTTTGAAGAAATGAAGTTTAATCAGGGAACTCTTGGTCCTTAACATCCCAACAGCATACTGGACAAAACAGGTGGCAAGCCAAAACTTCTGGTGGAAGCATTTGCTCTTAGTTACCCGTACAACATTCCAGAGTTACGGGTTGTTTTCATTTTTATTTTCCTTTAAAAGGAGGGCTTTATACAGACACTTTGTAGCTCCCAGCACCGCGCCGAGGCGCCGCCCGGGATTTTTTTGGGTTGCGCTGCGGCCGCCAGGCCAGGCCGGGCCGGGCTTCCCAAAGCCTCTTAGCCCCGGGAAAGCCGCTTTGCCTCGGATTAATTCCAGGCGCGTGCGAGGCGGCCCCTTCCCGCGGGGAGCGCGGCCCGCTCCGCCCTGGGGGAGGCGGAGCGGGAGGCCCGGGCGCGGAAGCGGCG